GTTGACCAAGTTTTTAACCTACAAACGCATGTAAAGTCAAAGCCATATCTATGAAGCTTCTAAGAAGCTTCTCTTGAAGATATTATGAAATTAATTTATTTTTACCTACTTCTACTTAATCATATAGGTAATTATTGAAAAAAATATGTATATCCATAATAATATCAGATCTATTTTTAAGGTTTTAAGGTTTTTATTTTATATACAAGTATATTATAAATTCTTACAAATAACACAAATATTAAAATCATAGAAAATATCATATTCAATCATTTAATAAATAATAAAATTAAAAAGTTAATAATCTATGAATTAAATTAATTATTTTATGTTGTATATTTATTAGGTTATTTTAATATCTTTTATGAAATTTATATAACTAAATACTATTTTGTATGATATTATTATTTTTTATTTTTTATTAAGTTTTAAATAAAAATTATATCAAATTATTTTAAATATTAAATTTAAAATATTTTAATACCACCACTATTTTTACTAATCCCACCACAAACTCTCATCTACCACATGCCATCCACATTTTTTGTCAATGCTAAAATAAATAAATGATTTATTTTTATATAAAAATATATAAATATACATATTATTATATTATTAATATTCTTCTTAGTTAAAAAATTTAATAAATAAAAAAATCTTCTTAACTTTTCTTTTAAAACAATTAATATGTAATTTGAAATATGTACACTAGAAATATTAACAAATTTATTGATTGGAATAAAAGAAAAAAACAAAATAAATATGTCAAGTAAGTAGTACATTGTGGTGGCAACAGCAAAATCCATGGTAACATTAATAATATGCTAATTATAATAAATTTATAATAGTAACAATAATAATAAAATTTTATCATATTTCGATTCTTTTCTACTAACCATAAGGATAATGGTTACATCAAAGACTTATGTGAAAAACATTCAAATAGATTAGAAAATATAAATAAAATAGAATGAATTAGAACTTGGTTAGTTATGTTTCAACATGTGAAAAGGTAGAATATAATTGCTTTATCAAAAGAATATTTTATAATAATGTATGCATGCATTTTAACTTCATTTTTGCAACCAACATTTCAAAGTCATATAGAAACATATATTTAAAAAACAATTATGTGAGTGCACAATTAAACCAACCAATATCTTGAGTCATGCTTTAAATGCAATATTGGACATACAAAAAGTTTCATGCGTATAAAGCAGAGTAAACCTTCAGACAGATTTAAAATTACTTTAAATACCACAGTGCATGTACAATAATTTGAATCCAAAACCAAATTAGGAAAAAGATAAAGCAAGAAGAGAGATTGCATGAAATACCTGTTGTTGATACAGCACAACCTCAAAGCACCTACACAGCTGGAATGCAGGTTCCGGATCCTCCTCTGCCAGAGAAAAGCATGCAAGGCATGAAAAGCAGAAGGAAAATGGGGAACAACAGGGAACAGGGACCAGCCAAGCCAAGCAAGCGGAGCCCACGACGACTGAAGACGGCGAGGGACGGGGAAGTGGTGGCATGGTCGGAGGAGGACGACGGCGAGGGTAGGGCTGAGGAGGACGACGGCGAGGGTAGGGCTGAGGAGGACGACGGCGAGGACGAGGAGGAGGATGCGGAGGAGGAGGCGGAGCAGAAGGGACGCACGGCACCACCACCACCATCAGAAGGAAGAGGAAGAGGAACAGCAACTGCGGAGACAGAGACAGCGACCAGCAGCTCAGGCAGAAGAGCCAGGGCCGGGCCGGGTCGGGTCGAGAGGAAGGAGCAACGGGCACGGGTTTGGGCAGGGGAAGGAGGCAGGCACGGGCAAGGAGCCAATCCCCCTCCGGCGCCTCGATCGAGGAGGCTCCGTGCTGCTGCTTCTGCATTGATGAAGGTCAATCACCGTACGAAGAAGAGCCATCCACTGGTTTCCTTCCTCGCACGGAATCAGACTTTCTCGTGATCGCCCCTCTTACGCCCCCGTTCACCGCGGTGATCGCACCACTCAATGGCCATTGCCCAGCTGTGGCGTGTTTGTGAGTGTGTGTGTGTGGGTTTGTGTTCCTCATTTTGCTCGTCTCTGCCGCTTGTTTTGGGTGATCGACGACCAGGTGTTGTCCTCTGTTGTACAACTCCACGAGACCTAGCGGCTCATTATTGGCACAGATCACGGGCAAACTCAGATAAGGAATTTACTTGGCTACTGTATCTCTGTCTGGGTTGGAACTTTGAAAGAAAGTAATGTCCTGATCGCTTCCTGGACGACTCTTCCTTCTCCACACACATGTGCACAGGAGCCCCCAGAATGCGGGCAGAAGGACGAAGAAAGTCATAAATAGGAAATTAGAAGTAAGATTTTCTCCTGCAAGTCGGAATGGGTGGAAGACCCAGGTTCTGTCAGGTCAAGTGGCAGCAGTGTTTGTGCAGCTACAGAGATCATGCATTGCTTCTTCCTCCTGTCAGAGTGCTGCAAGTACTGTTGCGGCCAGATCTATCCCTCTCAGTACAAAAAAACAATTTACCGCGTGATGATGAGGATCGGGAGCTGGTGATGGTGAAGAATCGTTTGGAAGTGGAAGAGTGGAGGATGATGAAGGATTAGGCTTGTGGCTCGATTGAGCTGTTGTGTGTGTGCGTTGGGAGGGAACTGGAAAGAATGTCGAATGGTGTGTAAAAGTAAGGTTACAATGATACCGTAATGATGCAAGGCGGATGACTGTCTTACACGACTCGCAACATGCGTACTTGCGCCGAGTCCGATCTAGCGGCATCGCCATCAGAATCATCCCATTTATGATTCATTCATCAGGTCTTTGTGTCCTAATCCTCTAGTACATTACATCACCACTCTCCCAGTTGGTCACAAGTCCTCGTTCCCCATCTTATAGCCAGCAGGTCAGAATGCCAACCTCCTTGTTGCAGCAACAATATATTTGTTAGGTGAAATATTTGCCTCCAGGGTCTTCTGCTCTTCTTTCACGAGTCTCAGAGCTCAGGTTTTAAAGAGGGAAAAAGGAAAAAAAGTGGTAAATTAAAGAAAACCGCTTTGCAGGTGAGAGAGGACCCTCCCTCTGGACACAGCTACCACCCAAAGGCAAGACCAAGGAACGTAGGAGCAGAATAAGGGGTGGAGGAGAAAAGAGACAAAAATCTTATTGCAACACAAAGAATATATGAAGGGAGACAAGGATTTAAAATATTAAGTGCTGCAGCGATCACCAAAGCTTGCATAAATTAAGGGAATGAGAAAGCGATGGGCCAGGGCAGGTCAGAAAGAAACCTATAAATAATGCGGGAGAATCGAATAATTATGCTAGAATATAGAAGCGTGAGCTAGAGAACCCAAATAATGTCGTTTGGGTTGGTCTGGGCAGGTGGATGTTGAAACCCCGCGGCAAGGAGAACGCAACAAGCAGAGAACGACGGAATCTGTCACGCGGCAGGCTGAGTTTAGATTCCACTGTGGGCGCTTTTCAGAACTCTGCTTAAACCAGCAGAGTGGAGAGAGATGCCATTCAAGTACATGAACAATTTGGTGTTTACGTGGAATAAAAACCCTAAAGCATTTGATTGGTCTTTGAAAAACCGGCAGTGGATACCTCCGTGGTACACTCTGGTCGTAAAAACTGGAAGGTCAATGATGCAGCACTTGTGACTGCGTCAAACGTGTTGTCTCTGCTGTGAATTGAAGCATCTCCCAGACACAGATTAGAGCATCGCAGCGGCTATCATTAGAACTCCCTCCCTATTTAGGAGAGTCGGAGCTACTTACTGTGCAGCGCATATTGCAACGAAGAGTCGCGTTACTAACCAAATCCGTATGTTGAACTTACCAACTAATTTCATGATACTTATCATCACCTTTACAGGCAGTATATGCTTCGGCAGTTTCTGGTCATGTTCCGGCGCCTAATGTCTGGGAGGAAGAATTTCGAACTTGGATTCTCTTATTGGTCCACAGCTACTTGTGTTGCACGACACGAAGAATAGCTGTTGGTTTTAGACAAAATGATGGTGATGTTCAATAGTGTTCTTTTTTAGGCCTTTGAAGTCTTCTGCGAATCAATATTGAAGCTGAACACGTCATGACTAATGAGGGCTTAGATCAACCGACGTCCCTTGTGACGAACATGTGTACTAAATTTTTTAAAGCAGCTGTATTTATTCTTTACCATTTTTTGATGAATCGGTTTTCATTGGAAAATAAAAAAAAAGTGCATTTGACTGAAGTGAAGGATTCATCATTTCAGATGAAATAACGGAAAGTCTAATGATTTCTTTGAAACTGAAACTAAGAATTTCAAATTTATGTCATCTTAAGTGGCATAATTGAAATCGCAGCTCCGACTTTCCTAATAAATGCTTTTACAAATGGCTTAACCATATTATTATTATTATTATTATTATTATTTCATGCATCACCAAACACAGATATAATACATATAGCCCTTACAGTGAATCTCAACCAGCATTTATTTATTTATTATGTCCAGATGAACCTGTTTCTTGTTTACTTTTGCTTAACTCATCTCAAATAAGAGTCGGAGCTTATACTCTGAATCAATGAAAGATGATGTGTTGGGGTTCAACATATATCATGACTTGAAATCACTTTCTCTAAACATTCTGTTGCACTGTGTGTCTTACTAGTGCGAAGGCTGAACAAATAATGGTAATTTTAGAATCGAAAAATCCTGTAAATGTAAAGATGAAAAAAACCTTAAGAACTATTGAGCAGCTTCGTTTTGGTTGTGTCTCATTCAAAACATGGAACCGAAGATTCTGTAGATATTCAAAGTTTTTTACTTCATCTCAGATGTATGGATTACTATCGACCTAAACATGAATGGCTCTCCTTTCTTCGAGGGGCACTATATGATCCCTGTTCACAATGCGTGCTGCAAAGGTTTGTCACCCTCTACTGGGTTTTGCAGAGTCTAGAGAAGAAGGAGAAGAAGATGAAGATGGTGTAGATGAAGCTAGGTTCCTTGTTTCCATTGATTGAGGAAAAGAGGAGAAACCATGGTAGGGCCGGACAGGTTGTACTCAGGTCAAAATGGTGTCAGGTTTCTGCACCAGGGCCGTGGACAACTTTAGGAGAAGACGCTTAGAAAGGCGCGTAGTGGGGTCATCTACGAGGACATGTCTGAGACCTGGACATCCCCGGGACTCAAAAGAGAGGAGAAAAACTCTCTGAAACCTCTTCCCTCCATTTCGCTGTTAAATCGCCAACATGTCCTTGGCTTTCGAGTAGGTTCCTTGCACGTTTTGTTCTTCATCATTCTGTTGGACACAAATACCCAGTCAGACTCTAGGAGCTGATCGTTGTCGAATTACTGGAGATCACCGCCTCTTGCTCTGGTCCTTGAAACGCCTGCAAGAGGAAATCGCAACACTGTTGAGTCCTGTGTATGCAACGAAGCTACTCTTCACTGTTACGGCAATCTCCGTTTCTGCACTAGCCGATCCCCATACGTAATAAGCAGTTGTTTTGTCTCTAGTGTGCGGGTGCTTTACGGCTTCCAATCTGTTTCTTCCGGTGAAGTAGAATTGTTTACAATATCATTATGGATTTCACATCACCGGGGTTGATGTTCGCGTCCTCCAGCTTTATTCAGCCGCATGTGCAAGTTCCCAAGAGATTGGATGACTGCCGCGTAATCAGGTATATGAGCGGAGGGAGGTAACGGCGCGACTAGAGCTTCTAGAATCGTTGCAAAAACGGGCTCGACTGAATCAGAACAGCCGCCCGATGCTGTCTTCGCATTCAGTGGAGGTCATAGCGAAGGGAACGTTTACTCGGACTCGATCCTATTCCTATTCGAAGAACTTGTCGGTCCTTTGAGGAGCCATAAGCATGTGAGGCAAAATACCTTGATATCGACCCTCTTCAAAAAGTATGATATTGAACCCTTCTTAGACACTCAAGCACAGTGGCTGGGGGGGGGGGTGGGGGTGTGGGGTTCTTTACTTGCACGCTATAGAACCGCCCTTCTAGAGGTTAGCAGCTTCAAGCGTATACGATATCTTCTGGTATGACTCAGAACAAAGGAGGAACGGATCCAGACTTGCTCGTAGTTTCCTATCCCTAGAATCACACGAAGCAAGCATACGGGAAGGTAACTGATGTCTACAGATTGACATCCACGCGATGACGGCTGCGCATTCTGCCCGAAGCAGAGGTGCACTTAATAGATCGTCGTCGCTGCTGTGAAGATATCCCCCTTCACTCTATCCGGTCGCGGGCTTACGCCATCGACTTCGGACATCCACCAAAAATAGTTTTCGAGTGTCGGAAAGAAACTTTTTTTGTTATTGGTGAGTGCTAGTGGTGGAGCTTGCCACCGCTTTTTAAAACCCAGCAATCTCTTTGTGCTTTTTCATCAAGAACGATTGCGTCTAGGTTACGACGGTGCTGCGTGCTTCTGCTAACTTCGAATGGAAATCAAGCATGCTTTCTAGGCCTCCTTACCGATTCCGTGACATCTCCATTCTGAGGTAGCGATCAAAACACACACCCAGTTTGTGTGTGAGTGGCAGGCGGCGTGGAGTTACGCAGGCATCGTGAGTGACTAGCTCTGATTAATGGGAGCCAGAACTAGGCTAGTGGTGTTATTCAATCACTGGCAGCCTGTAACAAAGCGTAGAAGCACAGGCACCGGATATTATCGAGGAAGTAGATTGTGACACATTTTTAAGTGTAAGTGAAGACGAGCTGCTGTATGCTATAACAGCTCACGCCCACCCGCATGGATTTTCTCGGAAAACAGAGTTTCGACGGTACCGAGGAAGATAGAGACTTGGATGGTGGTGCTAGAACTGGAGCCAGCCTTCGAGGTTCGTCAGATGATTTATCATCAGAGAGCAACACAACTTCTACTACTAACGCTCAGGATCCATCGTCCAATGTTGCGAAGAAGCTTGGCAGCCGAGGGAAAGTTCGGCAATACGTGCGCTCCAGATTACCCAGGTTAAGGTGGACAGCGGACCTGCATCGCTGCTTTGTGGTTGCCGTTGAGAGGCTCGGTGGACAAGAGAGTAAGTGCATGCTGGACGCCCTGCCCTCCTCCGCAACTCTGTTGATCAGAAAGCACAGACTAATTTCCTTTTCCTTTGTTGATAAAACCTGGAGGGTTTTAAGATTTTTGAACAGATGGACGCTCTAGTTAGCACTGGCTGTCTTCGTGCTCTTCACGTCGAGTACGAGCTTGTGGATATCGTTATTTGGAGATGAAACTATCGAATAGCGGTTGAATAAGTGATCAATGCTAAGAGCACGCATAGTCGAACCTTGTCTTCTGTACATCAATCAACTCAGATGAAGCTCCCATCTTTTCCTGCTTGCTTTGTCAGTAACAAATGAAGAAAAAGTGCACCTTCCAAACTTATATCACGTTGCCGTAGTTGATTGGCTTCATATTGAAAACGTTAGTCAGTTCGCTGTCCTGGATACCAGGGTTTGCGAAGTGTTTGGTTATGATTGCAGGTCAAGCACATGCAGCACGATTAGTACAGCTTGGACCTTTATTACATTTTACTGTGGGTCTGAATCGCTTTGGTATACACTGACACTGTTTCGCGTACTCTTGTCAATGTGAGTCAGAGGCAACTCCAAAGATGGTACTGCAGCTCATGGATGTGAAAGGTCTGACCATCGCCCATGTCAAAAGCCACCTTCAGGTTTGCGCAGACCCATCCAAGTCCTGCACTTGGATGCGTTGAACCGATTACTACAATGAATATTAGTGTGAATTTATTTGTTTCCTTTTTTTTTTTTTTTTTTTTTTTTTTTGTAATTTTTTTGCGACCGCAACTGGGAGTGTCTATTCCGGTTACGATTTTCCCCTATGCTGATGGAGTGGAACTCAACAATCTTGCAGATGTACAGGAGTCTAAAGAACGATGAAAGCGTTCAATCTGGTTGGTTATCTGAAACTGATCAAGTTGTTTCCATGATCAATTGATCAATCTTGATGTTTACTGATCTATTCAACTCTGACACTGCCACGCAACAAATAATATAATCGTAGTTGATCTTGGGTCAAACTAGGCCAGAGACTTCAAACCGGACAAACGTATTTGCCACCGCCGCACGTAATGCTGGTCCCAAACTGTCTGATTTTTTGGTTAACACTCTTCGTTATTGATGCCCAAATGGTTCTCAAAGAGTTCAATGGTTGTACATTCATTGCGACTGAAGAGCTCTTTGTTTGCTAATCTTGTACCAGATCTGTGCAACTGGAGAGGGGGACAGTTACAGCATCACAGTGATCGTTGGCTTCAGTCCACTTTAGGGTATAATAGAATTAGTAAACCGCTTATCCTTGAGCAGTCAACGAATAAACCTAAAGGCCTAAGCTCCGCAAATGAGATACTGGAGACGGAGTGGCAGATGTACAAACAAGAGTCCGATTCACGAATAGCTTTGATGATGTTAATGGAGGGACGTGCAGGAAATCCAACTGTTGCGTCTCCCTCACCGACGGTTGATTCCCGACCTCCTACCCAGCTAATGAAGCATCTAGATGGTGCTGGTGATGCTGGAATAGACAGTCCAAGTCTTCGAGGCGACTGGCATTATCTATTGGAGACCGACTTCAAGAAGCAGCAGGTGGGAAATGATGTTCTTCTTAATTTTCCTTCACAAATTCCCATTAATAGCAATTAATTTACAAATAATGTCCATGTTCTAAAGATGTTTTTCTCCATTTTGTTGCACGTAAGCTGTAAATACATACGATCTAAGAATTGGACATAGTATAGATTAGATAATCTTAATTTTGAAACATAATTAAATGCCTGCATGTATTGCCGAAAGCTTTGCTGGTCCACTGAAGGAAGGCTTAACAACATATATAATATCTGAGCTTACCACGGATTTATTATTTCAGGAAACGGACGATGATCATTTTGGACAACCATTTCCTGGATCAGTTTCGAGGTCCCTGGATAGTGCCTCAAATTATAATAAAATTTACAACAGATTCATAGGAAATGCAGTCAACGAACGGTCACATGACCTGTTCTGGCCAAAAGCGCAACGACCCTCAAAGCACATTACAGTGGATCGGTACAGATACGAGCACGATGACGAGAGCAACTGGAGACAAGATGCTAACTCGACAGAGCCTGACAGTTTACTCTCACTATCACACTTGCATTCACGACCAAGCTTGTCCACAACGAGTCAGAAAAGTATTATCCTTAATCATCGAAGTACATCTGTGGCGACGGAGCAAGTGTCTTTTGTTGATTTTTTGTCGTCATCCCAGAGCAGGAATACTGAGCAAGTGGCTACCCCAGCGGATGGGCTCGGGCTAGATTTGACCATGTCTACTGGATCAGCTATTGAGGATCCAGAAGAAGTGTCATTGAGTTTTCAGCGCAACAAAGTTGAGGAGCTGGACCTTATGTTAGATCTTACAATGTCCACTAGATGACAACAGTTGAGTGTATAGATGTACAACTTGAGTTTACCTGTGATATTGATCCGTAAATCTATCCAGCTAGGTTTTTGTCAATGAGCATAATGTTAGAATTCGAATTATCCTAGTATTCGCGGATTAATTGATCTGCTGGAGTCGGAGAATAATCTTAATCCTTTATTATGATCATTGAACAAGAACACACCGAGGTTGATTCCGTAGGGATGAATCAGGCATAGAACGGTTTCGCTAAAGTTTTGGAGATGGGATTCAGAAACCGAAGTCAACTGTTTAGAAAAGATGAGTTAACGATGTGACCCGGGTCATTAATCCATTCGTAGTGTATATTACACTGTTATAGATCATTTCCACGAGCAATCTGCGGAGAGAATTTTAATTAGGGACTGGAATGAGTGACTTGTTCACCAACCGTGCATAACGTTAAGCGTCAGCTATAGCTGGATGATTCAGCTTCTGTTTCATGCGTCAAGACATTCTTACAAATAATCGTATTCTTGCCTTAGTAGTTCAGAATGGGCACATCGCAGTTATAGTTCTGTTGTCACATTATATCATGTGCAATTCAAACGTCGTCGTGCTCATTGCGCTGGCTTGTGGCGGTAAGCTTTGTTCTGTTAGCAGACTTAGTTCGATTGATTATCTCCTGGTTCAGCATAGCTGTCACTTTTAAGACCCTCACTCTAAAGAGAACTATCCTTCACTCTCCCCGAATACCTATTCCAGCCTAAATCACATGGCTATGATCACTTGGAATTGAAAATTGAACTACCTCATCCTGAGACAGATGAGTTCCTTCAGTTTACCTGTCGATACGCCAACCTCCTCTTTCAGTCCAGGGCACAGCTGACCAGAACTACATGGAAAACGCATTTTTAAAACCCAGACGAGGGCCTGGGCACTGTTTAGCGCTTCCAATAAAAAAAATTGGAATGTAAATATAGATTCCTAGGACCTTGTTTTATACACACACACATATATATATATATATATATATATATATCTATATATATCTATATATATATATATATATCTATATATATCTATATATATATATATATATCTATATATATACATATCTTATCACACAATGGTCCAAAACATGACAGCATGCTACCCAGATCACAGTTATGCAGCTACTGGTTGTGCATGGCACAAGATTGGTCAGGAGGACTACCAACAGTCGAATTCCATGGGCTCATACACTCGATTCCTGGTAAGTTTGGCGACTGCATGCATCATGAGCAGGAGCTGGACATCAAGTACGCGGGGCTGGGAATGCAAGCACCAAGCGGACTACGTTCTCACCCAAATGGCAATCCACAGTTGCTCCTGCGCTTTGCGAAAAGAATTCACTGCAGCGTCATAACTACCATCTAAACTTGTGAATAAAGCCAACCAAGAACTTCCATTTTGGCATATTTGTCCTACAATGGAACATGCTTCACTGCTGTCAAACAAAAACTGGCTGGATACGTGAAGTTCACTACTGTGAGCATCGTGCGTCCAACGAGGTTTTTTTTAAATTGCTTTGGAGTGCAATTTGAAAATTTTCAACGTTGATGAATCACAACATTCAGGAAAAACCTCGAGTGAGTGCGTTGCGTTTACAGATTTGGATAAGTGGGATCAAACTAAACAGTTTATTCTCAAATAATGGTCAATCTTGGTGTAGTTTGACATGTTTGGATTTGATTGCCAAAATGAAATTATAGTATTAATTGAGCTTGAAGTTGATTGACAAAGATGCAATTAGAATTTAGTTTAGTAATTTATCAATTGAGGTCTAAGAATTCACATCCACTGTAAAAGTTAGGCACTTGTTAAAAAATCAATATTAATAAAGGGTGCAATTTATTAAGAAAGTGCTTTATTTGTCATTTTCTTATTTTAGTTTTATACTTATAGGATTTTTTGAAAATACTTCTTTACAACCATAAATTTTTTTAATCAATTACAAAAGTCCACTAAATGATAAAAGGTTCCAAAAATTAATAATAGATTACAAAAAGACTTACAAAGTAATTAAAAGTTTTGCATTGCTCAAAAAAGTTGTGAAGAGGTTTAAAAAATTATAGAAACTTATAAAGGATTATGTAAGATATAGAAAGGTTGTACATACTTTCCAAAAATTATAGAACCTTTGAAAAGGCTATCAAAATTTTTGGAAGGTAATAAAAGCCTATGTATAATTTTCAAAACGTTCAACACCAACATAAAAAAATACATGCATATTTCATGTAATTTAAAATGTTGATGTTAAAAAATTTAAGATAGAATTTCAATCTGCTATTGTTGAAGAATTAAAAAGTGATGACTTAGTAATTTTCAACTTACATTAGATAAAAAGAAATAATCCACTCCCTTTTTCAACATGTACGTTGTTTTTGTCCAAAACATTCTGCCAGAAAAGTAAAAATATCTTGTGAGCACTTTGTTTTGTTTTGTTTTGTTTTTTTTTTTAATTTTTATTTTATTTAGTAGAAAATAAGATGATGTGAAATACTTCAGAATTGGAAGGGTGTAGGACATCCCATTTTTTGTTTTAGACCAAAGTAACCATAGCTCCACAATTCTAAGATATGAGTATGTTGTTCCACTTTGCAATTCGGAGTTGTTACGTTCCTTGAAGAAAAGTTCAACAACACTGTGTTAGTTTGTGTATTTTATTCCAAGCACACGATTAATATGGAGATCAGAAAGAAAAAGAATCGTCCATATAATTGTAGATTACAATTGTGGCGCACTGTGACAATGCTGTAAATAGTTCCGACTATTCCACAACCGCCCCAAGAATCACCTCTCAAGCCGCTCCTGTTCCCACTGCTTCCTTTGTGAAATGCCTACAGTTTTGCATTGGCTGGGGTTGATAAAATTGAGCCAAGTCTTCACTACTTCTGAGTTGTACTCTTGAAGGGGAGCTAAAGTCCAATGCCGGAAAGTAATCGACGCAAGGCATTAACTTTCACAGCGGGGGGCTGGCGGGTCTTGGGGCGGTAGGTCAAGGGATCTGAATCCAGCCAAAATAGTTGTTTCTAGTGTTCACACCAAGTTCCAATGTTGACCCCAGGGGGCAGGAACCAGAAAATTGACATCAGCAGTGGGAGAGTTGACTGGACAGAATGGCATAAGTAAAAACAATTAGAATAGAGGGACCAGCTTGCTGAGTCCTGACTAATCGAAAATAATGCGCGTGGTCGAGTCCGTGGATTGCGGTGAGGGAGTGGTCCCGAGGAACATGAGTGAAATGCCACGCCATCGGCGCTCACAAAGATGGGGAATCAACTTCACTTTCTTCTATTTTTCCTGTCCTCCTTCGTCCTCCTCTTCATCCTCCTGATTTCCTCTTCCTTCGGAGCAGAAACATATTCGTGTGTGAGTTCGTTGTTAGCTGTTCCCGCAGCAGCAGCACGTGTTCCCTCTGTGGTGACCACTTGACATTCATTCACATTCCCCCATGTCCTCCGAACCATCTGCTCTGCATTTCTTTTTCCTCCTCTCCTCCGTACACCATCTCCAAGGCCTCATGATGAACGATCCTGAGACATTTACATGTATTTATAAGCTGTATTTATATAATAGTCAGGAGTGAGCACAGGCGACTTCTCAGATTAAACATGAAACTGGGACTCAAAATCGTCGCCTTATCTTCCTATGACTCCAGGTGCTATATCATTGTTGTCACCAACACCGTGGAACACCCGCTAATTAGCTGGTGCCTGTGATGAACCCATACTGGAGAGATGGAACGAGTGTGAGGGTTCAAAAACGATGTCTGCAGGGTCTCCGAGATCGCTCGCTCGCATGGAAGCGATGCCGTAAGGAGCTTCTGGGTGAAGGATTCTGCTGCAGTACCCCAGTTGAGACACAGCACGGTTTGTGGATATTTAGTCGTGAATGCGAAGATGTCGATGGAGCAATTTTTGCCGGTGTTCACGTTTTGTTTCTTCAAGCTGCATTTATACTCTACCGTAAGCAGATTGTAGACATCGCAACAAGTACCATGGGTATCTCTATCTCTTCACTCTAATGCAAATATTAATGAGAGCAGTAGCTTTAGTGTAGTAAGCAACTTGCATATGTTTACGAAAGGAGATTTCTCTGCAACTCCTCTTCATTTAATATCATTAGCAGCTCTTGATATATCTTCGATTAATATTCCAACACATTCCAACACATGTTTTTGTTTCTCTACATTCCTTCCTTGTGAAGTCTATCTCATGAAGATCTTTGTACAAGTGGAGGCCAGAGATAAGTTCCAAATCTTTAATTTGTAAAATTAAACTCAAACATCACCTGAATCTACTTTGCAGCTTGAATCAAATGAAGATGGTAGCTGAAGGGTAGAGGGAATTTTATCATATAGCAGTGAAGATGGGAATGTGGTGGGCACACCATAATGATAGTGCTTAAAATCTACTTCAATATTCTCGGCAAACTCTGAGTACAAGAAATGAGGTTTATTACTTCTCTACTAGCCCAAAATTGTCTATATCTTTGTCATGATGTACAATCCTAGGTGTTACATGAACTATGAGTGTAAAATTTACTCCTAACTCAATTACAAGCTGGCTTCAACTAAGAGTTGCTTATAATGGTTGGTGTGGAGTTAAAGTAGCAAAAACAAGAATAAAAGAAGCAAAACACAAAACAAGTGGAATAAGTGCAATCAAGCAATTGTACACTACAAAACTAGCCACAGTCTGTTTATAGAGTTTTTTATCCAGTAAAAATTAAAATTAAAAATATTTTAATATATATATATATATATATATATATATATCTTTTCAATGGTATAAAAAACATGTAAATCTGAATGACTATGAGTAAGTTATGAAGGTTTGAAAAATAATAAGTAAATAAATAAAAAATTAAGTAAATAATTTTACCTCAAGGACAACTTACTTAAGAGATTAGGAGTTCGAGCCTCACCAAGGCTCACAAGTAGTGTATATTGGTTCCTAAGAGAGGTCACAAGGCCTTAGTCTTATCTTCCTAACTACCTTCAAGGTGATACAACCTATATGGAACTTGTGCACCTTCCTTCTTATAATGACTACACTAACTACTAATCCTCCTATTTTCTACTAGTAAATTCCATAATTTTACATTTTTGACTTCACCACAGTGTTTAAAAATATCAAATTAGCCTGAGAGTCTATTTTGGCCTTCAAATCTTACTCCATTTCTTCATAATGGCTTTCGAAGTGGTAAAATTCATTTTTACGAAAGTCTTAAAAATTGCTCTAAAAATTCCTAAAAAATTCTAAATAAATTTTAAATAAATTCTAAAAATTTCTATAATATCTTTATAATATTAAAATAAATTTGAAGGTATATTTTATTACCTTGATGATTTTTTATAGTAATAAAATCAATTTAAATCCACTATAAATCTTACTTTGTATATAAATAATTAAAAATGACATAAGATTCTTTCTCATACTTCTTCTAACTACCAAACAATATTTA